TTCAATAACTTGTAATGTATGTTTACAATTAATTTTTGTTAAAATCAAAATATTGTATCAGCGTTATGTTTATTTATGATTACGTTATTACTTATAATTGTTTTTTTTGATATTATAAAAACCTGTAGATAAAAGATACAGATGCATCATTTTATAAGCAATTTATGACTACCATCATTACTTAACTACAATATATATTGATATAAAAAGTAATTTTTTCATTTCGTTATAAGTTAAGAAAAAACTAAATGTAGGTTAGCTATCACCTACCTTAAATTCCCAAGAATGCAAAACGTATCAAACTTTGAAGAATAGACATTTAAACATAAAACATAGTATCTGGTTAGATAAATTATCTAAAGTAAGCTATAATGATCCAGATTCTACCGTTAGAAAGACATAAGACACACATACTTGAAGGTTTTTTTGTTTTAACTTACTTATCAATAGTTGTGATGTCAAAGCAAAACCGTTTTTCAATTGTATCCGATGTACGACGTACACAAGACGCCAATATTAAAATTTCTTTGCTGCTCTGTTAAAATACAATAACGTTATATCTTTTTTTACAGTGCATTATTTTACAGTCTATTTTTAGTGCATTATAAATTTTACTTACAAACTTTCCTGTGAGTTGATTATAAGGTATCATTGTAAATTCTTTCTTGTCCTTTTGATATGTACAATATTGTTTTGTCCATGTTGTACCAAATGCTTCTATAGAAATAAACGGATTTATGTACTATACTATAATTACACTAGTATGTTTAAACAATTACAACGCTTATTATCATTGAATGTATCCAAATTTGTATGCTTACTTTTTTCCATTAAAAACAAGTAACCTTCACGGGTGTATAGTTTATTGACCCCACTTTCTACAGCAGACTATAAAATGAAAATATTACATTGCAAATGTACATTACAAAAATTAATACAAAATACTAAAATTCTTTTCTTCAAATAAAACAAGCTACAGATGTAGTAATTTGATTACTATGCATAACAGAATGACATTAAAATTTTCATGAATTAACTGAAATATATGATATGAACATAAAACTCATGTTTAATAAACTTAATAGTTATTTGGACAATATTGAATATTATGTTATGATGATACACTTGTATTTATACTAAAAATAAATAATGTGAATAATCTTGAAATATAACACATACCTTTTTCATATCCTTCATTTTATTCATAAGTGATTCTGTTTTATCCCGGGTAGCAAGGAAATTTTCTCTAGTCTTGTAAAACACACACACACACATAAAATTGAAAATTAGTAAGCTATTTGTCATGCTGTTATCCTAATAATATTTGCACCACACAATAATTTAGTAAGAAGTTACATTTAAGTATGTCTACAAGTAGTTGAATATTAACAACTAACTCAATTATAAGAAAATTACTAATATTAAAAATACTTTAAGTGCACAAGACATTTAAAAATACCCAAATTAAGTACCCCAAATAGTTTTTTCAAAATATTTGGGATATATTGCATCACATTCTTACGATAATATTAACAGCATATAAATAATTTTACAGAATACCTATTTTAATTATTTGATTAATTCAAAAAACTAGCT